GAAAGAATTTCCCATCCTCTGAGTCCTTAATCCGTTCCGCATCTTTCCATACTGCCTGACTTTGTTCGGCAGAAATTTCACATACTTGGACCATGATCAACTTCAGGCAGCTTGTATCCTGGGTGAGCCTACCTGACGCAGCTAGTCCCTTGGTCGAATGCAAGGAGCTTGAGAATGGTGCGGGAAGGGGACTCTTCGCGACAATGGACGTTCCTGTGCGTGCCGAGATGGGCGGGTCGTGATTTGCTCGATGCTGAATCGACTTCTGCAGCCCAACACGCCCTTGATAGTACTACCTGGGTCCAAGTTGCTCAACAAGTTTACGTTGAGATCGTCGTACCCGACAAGTGCTTTAGATCTGACCTCGATGCAGCTTCTGAGCATGCATCTCTTCCTTCATCGTGAAGGAGAAAATGATTCTTTCTCGCCATTCATTGCGTCTCTTCCCCAATCCTTTGACTCTCACCCCGTAGCCTGGTACGCTCGGGCACAATTGCAAACTGACCCTACTGCATCTATGCTCCCGAAGGAATTGATTTCGAGGATACCTGAAACGGCAAGTGCAAGGATCACTGCCACTCATGCCAGGTACCAACATGATATCGAGCAAGTTAGAATGTATCTAGTGGGGACACAAATTCAGTTGCGTTAACAGTTCCTGATCAGTTACCTGTACAGAAAGGGAATGTCGAATTGGCAAAATCTAGATGCAGTACGCGAAGCGAGGAAGAGGATTTCTTATGGTCATGGCTTTGCGGTTAGTTACAAACATCCTTCTCGTGTTCGGACACTGAGATAGAAACTGACAGTGAATACGCGGTGTATTCATCTCCCAATAACCAGCACCTCCTCACCAGAAGAAGATTTGACGCTCGTGCCATTACTTGACTTAGCAAATCACTCTCCCGATCTTCCACGTGCGTGCCAGTTTGAAGTCAAATACATTTGCGACACCCGGCGCGGCCCCTCCGGCTCTCCCCACGCGCCGCGATCCGTTATCCTCCGTTCGCCGGCGTCTGTAACCGTAAAAGCTGGAGAAGAGATTTTGCTTCAGTACGGGCATCATAGCAATTCGGCCTTGTTTTCTGAGTATGGCTTCACCCTTGAACGACGTTTGGATTCCGATCCGTCAGAGGTAAATCTAGATTATGCGATACGGCTGCTGCTGCAACCGTACGCGTCCATGAAAGACTTGTTGGAGCGATGGGATTATTGGCTGTAAGCGTTTCTGGATATTCTCAATTGCTTCCTTGCAATCTGATACTGTGATAGCGACTGGACAATTCATACATCGCCACCCCCCGCGCACCCATCCTACCGTTTGTTAACCGTTCTTCGCTTACTCGCTCTTCCGAGCTCCGCCATCGCCGCTGCTTCCCAGGATCTTGATAGCTCTCCAGTGCGACCAAAGTTTCCTACTGGTTGGCCCAGTGAAGACCCCTATGATTGTTGGAAAGCAACTGTCCTGGGTTTCGCAGATAACGTGTCTGAAACCAACGAGCAGAAGGCGCGAGACCAACTTTTAATGATCTGCCAGTCCCTGAACGAACAAGCTAAAGGAATCCTAAGAGCTGATCGGCTTGCACTTTCCCTAACCGGCGCTACGCCAACCTGGCTCCTATATGCCGACCACTGCCTTCATGGCTTGTGGAGGGAAGTGGAGAACACCACACGGCTCGTTATGGAGAGCATTGCCAGGGGAGAAGTCTTCTGACGAGCTACCTTGCAATATTGTTCTCCGATGTGTTCCTGTACGTCACTTACGGACAAGGACAACCAGGCTTATGGGATGTACATTCAGTACAAGTGACGGTCCAGCCGAAAAATACAGACGATCAACATCTATCGAGGGAAGTTTTCGCTCATTCACAACCGCATCTTTACACAAGACCTGGATTCCTGCCAAGCACATCTTCAAACTCACACCACGAATTCCCTCAACTCCAAGCTACTCTCCCAGAAGGTGGCAACTGTACCCCAGTATTCGGAACGCTGGCTACACCTTTGGCCTGACCCTTGAACAGCAATTCTGCCTCTTGTTTAGAGCATTTTGCACATTTCAGAGGACTGATTCGAATTGGCTGCTTGTCTGGTAGAGTCATCATTTTGGTACAAGAATTGTGTGTCGTGCACCAGTGTGATGGCTGTGGGTGGGCGGAGGAAAAGGTACACTTGGGATCGTTGCAATCCCGGCGATGGGTCGACATCGCATCGAAGCAGTCGCATATCTGATACCATCGCCCTTCAATAACCTATACCACGTTCCAGTAAAAGACAGTGGGTTAGTGATTGGCGCAATGGAACACGAAACGCAGGGGTATTATACATTATAGCACATGTTCTATCGAGTTGGCTATTGAGCAAAGTGGGGAAATTGAGGTTATTGAAGGGAGTTATTCGCGATGAGGAAAGACCGAAGAATGAAATTTAGGCAGACACGGGAAGAGACGTCGTCTTTAAAGGGAGCGGCGTCATGAGCCTTGCGTCACGCACGGGACCTTCCTCAGCCAACTAGGATTCAACCATCACCTCATGTTTCAGGTGCGGCGAATGGCGTTTGACCCTCCCTAATAAGCAGATCTATAGTCTAACGTAGAAAGGATCAGGTCCCTTAAAAACGTGTTTGTTTCATCTTCAAAGGGACAGAAAATAATATGGTGCAAAGACGCCTGAATGAGTCGGGATGTGAGCCGGTACAAGGAAGAGGAATGCAGAGACACAGATGGGGGACACTCACCCGTCATCCGCCACGTTCGCGTATCGCGCGGACGATTTTGACTTTCTGACTTATCTAGGTTGCCGGAAACCGGTTGGTGTTTCATGTACAGGGGCACACGAATGCACACTCACCATCTCCGCGAATCTTCTTCTGTGACGCTCACTCTTCAGTCTTCGTCTCTTATCGGTGGGTTTTTCAAAACGTTCCGCCAGTCGTTGTTCCTGGCGGACCCTATTATCCCGGAGCGTAGTCATCACGCGGGAGTAAGCTGCTATAAAATTTCCATTGGTGACAGGAAATGAGCGGCCCCAGTACATTCCAGCGTGTGCTCGCTCCTGCTGCAACTTTTGGATCTCAGCCATGCGTCGTCCGGAGTATGCCCGCCACAAGTCCTCCGGTTTCGACACTTTCTGCTCCGATGCATATAATGCATTATTGAGTCTTCCCCATGTTTGCCAGATTGCAGGGTGAGGAGAATTCGTTTGCTCAGGTTGTTGACGGCTTTTCGCGGGAGAAGCTGGGTGAGGCTTCACAATGTTGTCAAAGATATGGTCCAGCACCAATGGTCGTGAGGACGTCGGGTTTCCAGTATGTCTTGTGTCTGAGACATAACGGCGAATGATTGAAACCGCTATTGAAGGTCGCAGGCGTTGCATGTCTGATGGTTCGTGCAATTCCCACGTTCCTTCCAAGTCGCGTGACCGATCGGCTGATCGCTGCGCAATCGCTGTTTCATGATTCATCTTTCGTCTTGATGTCGTCGGAAGTCTTAGCGGAAGAATATGAAGTCTTGTCTTCTATTTACCCAGACGAGCTGGAAAGTGAGGTCCTAGCACTTTCTGTTGCTATTTTGACTCATCACCTGTGCACCCGATAGAGGTTGCAGAGGATGAGTTGAAGATTCGCGTCGAGCCGGCAGAGCAGCCCCCAAGCTCGGAAGACCAGAGCAAGTCCGAGAAGTTATGCTTGTTTACAGCTCAGGAAGGTTCTGATCGTGGCGCCACTCTTACCGCCCGGGTTCATAGTACAGCTCACGCTGTTCGTAAAGTATCCTCCCGAATACCCTGACAAGGTTCCAGGGCTGGCTATCCATTCCTCGAGAGGGTCACTGAGCCGGGACGAGGAAAAAATGTTGCTGAACACCCTTCATGAAATGGTACGGGGATTATGAACATCCCTCAATTTGGATTGAAGTCTCAGCGCATCAAAGGGTGAAGAAAGTCTGGGGATGGCTATGGTCTTCACACTCATCTCGCAGTTACAAGAGTCTCTTGGCAAGTTGATAAGTGAAAGGGAAGAATTACGCAAAATAGAGGCTGCTGAAAAAGCCCGTCGCGAGCTCGAGGTTTGTGGTTACTGCATTCACACAGCACTTGAATTCCTATGTGTACCTGTTTACCAGGCAGAAACTGCTCGCACTAGAGGGACACCAGTAACTTCTTCTACATTTTCTGAGTGGAAGAAACGTTTTGATAAGGAGCTCGCCGCCAAAGTCGCAGCAGAAGACGAAGAACGTATCAAAGCGATACCGCCGAAAGAAAGGGAGGAATACAAGAGAAATAAGCTAAAACCTACAGGTCTAGCACACCCTTGTTGCCGTCGTCCCGCGTCTAAACTCCACATAGGGCGACAGTTGTTCGAGAAAGATCGCAACTTTGGCGCTGACGACGAGGAGGGCGAAGAAGGAGCCGTATCCGTGGACATTAGTCAGTACGAGCGAAACACAGCGCATGACGAAGTCGAGGAAGTCGAGGATCGGATCCATTTTAGTGACAGCGATTAACTACAACAATGATTTGTTGCCCGATGCTTGATGTTGATGAAAGATACATCTGTGTGCGTGTCACTGAGAGTTTTCCCCCAGTTGAGGGGATTTTGGTGGGGAAAGGGTAGTGATTATGAGGGGTGGGCTAGCTTCGTCATTTGAGTCCTCTGGTGGGGGTGAGTCGGACTTGCGGAAACTGAAAGGGGGTTCGGGCAAGAACTCGGCCTGCAATATATGGGATAAGTAAGCACATGGGAACGATGGGAAGAGTTGTTCATACAGTAACTTGTTCGAAAGGATTGGATTGCCAGAATTTATCCTGAATATACGGACGGGCATGACGATAGAAGTCCATTATTGCGGCAACGGTTACTAGTGGGGTCGTTTTATCCTGTTTGACAATCAAGGATGGGTGGTCAACTTACTTGAGACGTCTGTTGTTGACTGTTGTACGGCGAAAACATCATACACTACAGCTGAGCGAGTCTCCAGAACCTCACCCAGGGGCACTGCAGGATCCATCCAATAATGCGCTAATAAGTAGCACGCGCAAGCTATGACATTGTGTGAGTACAAAACGCAGAGAGGGGTCCGATAGCTGGGAGAATGTGGTATGAAATGTCATGTTTCTACTTGGGAACAAGAGTCTGCCTACGTGTCATTTATGATGCTCCAGGAATACGCAAGAAGTTCTTCTGAAGGATGAAGCACTTTGGCTGCTGTCAATAACGCGGTGTGAGGGTGCTCGACCGTCATATCAAAACACAAGGCCTCGAGGAGGAGCTCTTCATATTGCGTGATACGTTTCATCCACTTGGTGACATTCTACAGCAACCTGATGAGAAATCATGAATGAGGCAAATGATGAGAGCCAGACCGGATCTTGCTCATCTGTTGTGGGTGGTAAACCGCTGGCCTTCGCATGGCAGACGATTGCAACATCCCTGAGCTTTCGCCCGGTCTCCTCCGTCTTACACGCGAGGAATATACATGCGCCAGCGGTGTCCTTTTGGGGAAAGGGGACACAAAGACACATCATTTACGAGAAAACGATGGCTGCATTCGGGCCCAAACGCACGTAGATAATGTGGCCATTGATCGAGTATCGCATATAGAAGCGGTGGAAGTATACTGCTGCGGTGGAGATAACTGGGACCGTACTGATAGGGGACAGTGAATGAGAATTGGACAGAAGCGAGCAAAGATTCCCAAGTTCCACTAACAGCTTCAATTGCAAGCTAACACGAGATAAGAATTCGATCCCTTGATTCCTTAAGACGAGCTCATCAGAGACGGATTTGCCATCGAGAGCTACTGAAGGAGTTTTTCCAACATGTTCACCCTTGAATAGCCATTGAGAGGACAAATGAGAAGACTTCATGAGGGTGGTCAAGCCGAGGGGGATTTGCACAAGGACATATCCGTCCGCATTGCCACATCCGGCCATGGAACAGTGTAATTTTATTATCAACCCACTCCACAGTGACCAGCACAACGAACCAAAAATCCCTCAAAAATGCTTGATAACGCTATCAGAGCGGGCCTAGAACCTTCTCAGTCTCCACCATTTGACGTAATTGCTGCCTATCGAAGAAATCTCTTGGATGAGGACACATCCATGCCAATTGCTGCTGTACTTGCATTAACAGAGCTCCTTGCCGTCTCAAAAGGTGGATGCGTGAACGTACCGAGCGCACGCGTCCCGCTAATATCTCCTCTTTCAATCTGAAGCGGAAACGATGTACGAATTGGTAGAAGCATTGAAAGTTGGAGCAGCTATCCTCAAACAAGCAACTCCGAATCCAATCAGTCTAACGGCCGGTTGTGATCTATTCATCCGTTACGTGAGCACAGCGCGCCAGGAAGACTTGGTACGGTCAGTTTACTTCGATCCATTGCCAGCATCTGAAATTGTTGGGTTCTGCTTTACGCTCGCATAGGCGTTCGCCACCCATAAGGAAGCGCTAATTCGGGAAGGGAATTTGTATGCGCGTAACGCAGCCGAATCTTGTCGAGAGAAAATATCGCATCTTGCACTGGGCTTCATACCTGATGACGGCGTGGTACGTATTGCTACCGGACCTTTTACTCACAATGCTGACACAGTTGGAACCCTCAAACTATCAGATTTTAATACATTCATTTTCAAGGGTGGTTCTCCAGGCATTGATAAATGCACATAAGCGGAAGCGCGTATCTGTTTATGTCACCGAAGCGCGCCCAAGAGGTTTGGGGTGAGCCTCATGCATCAACATCTCATTTAGTTCGCTTCTGAAATGAATGATTGGGATAGCATCAAAGCATTTGACGCTTTAACCGCTGCTGGAGTCCCTTCCACCCTCGTGCTCGATTCTGCAGTGGCGTACGTCATGGATAGGGTAGATCTAGTTCTGGTCGGGTCTGAGGCTGTTGTGGAGAGTGGCGGCCTAATAAATGCTGTGGGAAGCTACCAAGTGGCCATCATAGCGAAAGCCGCCAATAAGCCGCTATACGCCCTAGCAGAGAGGTGAGGTGATAAATTTACCCCAAATGATTCCTCTCATTGGAAAACGACCTTCAGCTACAAATTCCTCCGCTCGTTTCCGCTATCACAATACGATCTGCCCATCCACAATTCTTCCGTCTTGCGACTTCCAACACAGAAACCTTCTCACCCTTCCACACTAACGGTGTCACATGGGTCACCTGCAGTTTATGCTCCACCGGCAGCTGAGCGGCCCGCGGCCCCCCACCTCTCTGACCATTCATCACCCGCACCGACGTTGACGATGACACCTGAACAGCTTGCCAATAACCCGGATGTTGACTACACGCGACCCGACCTTATTGCCTTGGTTTTTTCAGATGTGGGCATCCTCACCCCTTCTGGGGTAAGCCAGTACCTGGTAAACATCTTTTCGGATTAAATGATTTCTCGGTTTCCGTGTTCTATTCTGGGCGAATGTCTCGGTTGCTCAAGCTAGCCGTCCAGCTTGAGACAAGGTTATGAAATTCTGGGTGGATTTCACTCTGCTGCTTCCCTGAAGAGCACAGGATTCGCTAAAACCATATTCCTTGCCTAGCTCAGACGAGATCAAAAGTTTGCTGGAGATAAACAATATTCAATGCTCCCTGAATAAAAATCTTCCTTGTATCTTTGCCAGTCCAGATAAGAATCGGTCGGGAACCATCCATAATAACACGGCTTCCTGACTTTGGGATGCGCGACTCACCTCAGAAACGGATTGGCGGCTGTCATGCACGTTGTTTATGCTTTTGGACCCGCCCTTAGTTAGGCATCGCGTAGCGTATTTTGGTTGGCTCGCCGCTACTTCGTTCACGCAACAACTAATTAAGGCCGATTGGAGGGCCGCGCGAGTGATTCCTTATGTCGTCGGTTGGTGGGGATGACGTTGAATTCTATCCTGACCTTGTATTGCGGCTGTATGGCCCAGCCGCCCCTGAATTTCTGCACAGAAGCGCGTGCGACGTGCTTTGTCCATCCACCAGTTGCCCCAGTGGGCTCTTTATGATAAACGTATGGGTCCTTTTGGCGTTCCACCGCCCGGCCCGGGCTCCCATCTCTCCACCCTCTATTAAGCGTATACGTCTCGCAAGACTTCAGCCCGAATGGGAGGACTGAAGCTTTTCGGCTTTCTTTCCGGATGGGGATTGCTTAGTACATACGTCGTACACGATAAGGTGTCTAATTGCGGGAGCCACCAAATCAATCAAAAGACTATCCCTGTACTTTGTCGGATAGCTGAACGTGATATCAAGTCGCTAAATTGACAATTTGCAAGGCATTGCCAGTCCTAAAAACCAACCCCCATTTCGAATGATCCACCCACAACTTTGAGCTTCACTTTACTGTTCTTAGGCATATTAGCAGATGGGCGGGACCTGATTGTCATCACCCTACTTTTCATGGATAATCACATGGCTCATGGCTGAAAGGGTGACAAGGGATGTAGCGATCGATTAGATCGATAATCAGATAGATACCCTAAAATTCCGACAGTCCTTTCCCCACTTCAGGTGCATGTGTAAAGGTAAAGTCGCGTTGTTCATTTCGTCCGGAACCGCCGGTCAGACGCTTTGCAGCCTCAATGTTGCAGCAGATTGTGTGGCATGTTGCGGCGAACTATCAAGCTGTTTTTTTTTTGATGTATTGCAGGTTATGCGTTTCCTGGCTGCAAGGTGATTGCTTCGTACGATCGGCAACATACCCCACAGCACTTAATATCGATCGATGGGAACCGATTTTCAAACGTATGCGTGGCGCATGATGACATTATTTGGGATGTATCTATTCTAGAGTAGTTTCACGCATCCGAGAAGTACACGCCCCTCGGCCAGGTATAGGAGAGCCAAAGCGAGGCGTTCGCGCGAGGGAAATTAACCACTAAAGGACACTCCTGCGCATGTTGCAAATGAAATTGAGCAGCTAGTCAACAGGAACTGACAAAAGCACCCAGGGATACAATTGGAGATAAGCCGCTGGACTCGTGTTGAGAGACAATTGGAATGTGTGCTCATGTGTGACTAAATGTTCGAACATCAGATTGGAAAACTGTGGCAGTAGGCCTGGGACTATTTGGGGGTGTCTCTAATGCAGACGGGTCAGGAGGTTCACGCATGAGTACTAGCTGCCAGTTTAGCGATTAAAACCCCGCTAGAGGGTGAATCCAGAAGAGCTGATGATTCAATTGAGATGACGACCTTATCAAGTAAACGGTGGTTTTGCACATATTCCCGCAGGAGTCCAGCTAGGTGCCGAGGACATCAAGACCACGGGAGATGGGATCATACCGCTGAGAAGGTGTTTATCGAGCAAAATGCATTGAAGCCCACCAGCATGGGAGAAATTTGAATCGGACATTCATGAGCACCAAGCTGATGGAGAAATCCATGGCCCCAGACACAATGCGTGAGACGATTCCAGTGAAATTAACCAACGTGTTATACTATACATTGATCATTGGAGTGAGGTCGAGATCATGAGTGGTGCAGACTCCTGCAAAGGAGAGATTCGCCAGCCATTGGAGATCGAGATCGCAGAGTTCCTCGGATGTCATTCGTGTTCGTGATCTCCTTGACGTCAAACGTACGCTTGATCGTAGAGGTAGGAAACACGTTTTCTTAAATATGATGGCCCAATTCAGTAGACAGGTCGGACACTGCAATTTGTCCCCCCCGGTCCCTGCATGATGGCCTCTCCCATCTGACATTTTGCTAGGCCCGGGACTTTTCCCTCTAAATGTGCTCATTTGGGCGTTTGATCGTATTTCGAGCCTTGAGGAGAACTTGCCACCGGTATACACCACCGCTCGGGAGAAGGGTTCCGATTTGCGTGCATGGCCTCGGTGTGTCTTTCCAGCCCTCAACTGGGCGCCCGTAACCAAGGTTTACGACTGAATTACTATCCACACCGAGCGGGATGAGGACCGCGGAAAAGACGGTTTCCGGCCTTGCGTGATGCAGCTCTGATGATGTGCCTCACATCACTGTTGACGAACTGGGAGACACGGATCAAGTCGGCCATGAATACTTGGTCGCTTCTCAATGAGATGATAGCGAAAACTAAAAATATTGGTAATACCATAAACGTTGCTGCCATGATTTACTGGCGAGCGTCTTTTTTTCTCCATTTCAGCTTATTTTTGGTGGCTGTTGATTCCGAACTTAGTTGATTTTGCTATTCTCAGATCGTAGTGCACCGTTCAAATGCCCGGAGACTTGTCCTTTGATTATTTCCTATTCACTTTTGGGGAAGTCCTCAAGGTATTTTCGGACAGTCGCTGAGATGCGAAACTTTCGAATTTTCGTCCTTCAATACACACGTCTTCGCAGCACGCTGTACGCATGTCGAACGGTGCTGCGGGCCTTCCATCCCGAGCAAATACTGCAGGCAGACCGCTTTTAGCTTTCACTAGCACTGTGCTTCCCTCCTTCAGAGCGCAGGAAAGTTCCAAATTTCCGACAACTGATAAGCTTCTGCCAAACTTGAGGTCTGCTTCCCGCCGCATGATTATCGTAACATCACGCCCGCTGGCCAAAAATTCATTACAGGCACCCACCCTTATCATAGTATAGTCTGAATAATCATTTGCTTTTATTCGAACCTCCATCATGACGATCAAACTTCGTTGCTTTTTGAGCTTACTATGTGACGTAGCGGACTTCGCGCCCGGGCGATTTGGTAGCTTTTCTCCGTCGCCCAATGACAGAATCATCTCATTTGATTGCCCCTTCTCGCCTGGGACTCCCTCCCCATTTGACGGCCTAGGATACGCATATAAGCGGCGCCCTTCAGCCCTCCCTCCGTCACCAACAACCCTCCTTTCACCAAGCTGTTCTACGATAGTACTCTACTAGAACCCTCTGCAGCTAGAACACTCTTCGAGATCTACTCAG